TTAGTTCTCAGGTCCTTTTCGGAATAAAAATATGCCAGGCATTGAATGCAAATTTAGTAGTCTTAGCGCGAAAATTAAATTAAAGCAAATCAAAATTCTGACATCATGTCATCGCTCTGCCTCGAAAAATCCCAAAGATTTACTTGCAGGTCTTCTTTTCTTTTTCTTTTAATCAAATAGAAGATCTGCGGTGCTCAAATTATATAAGTCATAGTACGAAACACCGTTCTTTGCAGACCGAGCCGTGATCGCCGCCATATTTAATTCTCTTGATATTCTATTGTTCCGGAGTGTAATACGATATCCCGCTGATAATTGTCAGCGGGCTCGAAATGTCCTTGATTTCTGGCGATGATTTAAATTCGTTACCGTTGCTCTTTTGATATTTCATTATTTCATCGCACTCGATCGCAGACGATCGCAACCGATCGCACGAATAGCACATGGTTCTATTCCTGCGATCGCACTCGACTGCACACGATCGCAGAGCTGTTCACATATAATCGCAGAAGATTTTGACTTCACTCCAGCTATAGATCAAGCTTTCAAAGCTGAAAAACATAAACACAGGCTCCTAAATGTCATTCTTTACTGGATTTTATTTGAGCTTAGCTGTCTCTAAGCTTGGACAGGAGAGAGTCGCAGATCCTTTTAGGAAGTTTCCTTGTCACAATTGATATTTTCTACCTGTCCATATTGCTGCAAAAATTATTAAGGTTCGCTGTTTACTGGGCAGCAACAGCGTATCCGGCCTCGAAGAACATCTACTCGGTGAGAAAATGGTCAAATTGGATAAAAGGACCTGTTTAAAAGTTTGTCATTAATTTTTAGCATTCATCTTAAGGTGGTATGATATCTTAAAAAAGGCAAAAATTTTTATTGCTGGAAAAGGTCCATATTTCACTTGGTTTTAACGCCACAGTTTAATTTTTCATGAAAATGTTATTTGTTGTCCAGTATTTACTCATTTTTGAGACCAGGTCTTTGGTTGCCATGGGCAACAGGTTTGTTTTTATCTTATTTACAGTGAAGAAACAATCCCACAATAGTTGTTTTCGCCCGGAAAACGATCGTTGCGTGACAAGGGACTCTCTGTTACCCCGTACATGACAACGATCATGTTTATAATCATGTTGTTGTCTTTGGGGTCATTGCACAGATCCATCTATGTATAAGATATCCTGAAAATTTCAGAGCCATGGGATTTTTTGTTATAGAGTTATTGTTGTTGGTGTGATGTCTATGAAATGAGGGTTAAGTGGGCGTGGTCCTGTTGCTATGGTGACAGATGGTGTCAACAACAGTGCCAAACAATTTCTCTCAGTGAGTGTTATCACAGGAGGGACTAATAAAAATGTTTCAAATATTGTAAAAAATTTCCCTTTTTGAAGGTATCATACCTTAAGTGGCTTCTAAAGCCAAGAATGCGCTTCAGTGCATAGATTGTCAATCATGATGTCACGAAAAATCACTAGTTTCAGTCAACTTTCATCATCAAGCTGTTAGGAAAGTTACTGCAATAAAGGATGAGCAAAAATTTACGTAAAGAAAATAAAGCAGATTAAAAGATCAACCGTGTGTACTCATACGGCGGGAAATTAATTGAAAAATTTGGTTGTCATCCTAATGAGCGCAGGTGGTTCCGGTTTCATAGCTTTGCTAATGTAGATAATAATAGCAATAGAGAACGAAACATAATAAAATGAAATGTCGCCAACAACTGGCCAATGACAATAAAAACCCACTGTGCTCTGAAACACTTGTTTAAATAATTGCCTTTGAACCCTTTCACTCTTATGATCTCCTTAGAAATTCTCCTCACCGTCCACTTTATAATACTTATGAATTTGCTTTGGAGAATTTGGTATTGGATCAACGTTTAGTCCCTTAATTGATATTTTTCTTTATTCTCATCACTTGCCTGATTCATATTGTATTATTCTTGTAAGGAGAAATTCTGTTTTGGTCACTCTCGGGAGTTAAAGGCTTAATTCTAATCTCTCTTCAGCGATCGCTTGAAAAATAATAATTCTTTTCTGTTAATTGGATCGAACCAGAGTGAATCATTCCTGGATTTGAAGTCAAGATTTACCCCTTATTTCTATGAATGGTGTTAACCTTACGAAGCAAATATGTTCTCAAACGAGTCTGCAGTGAATAACACACACAACTCTTTTGAAACAGAATCTTCGACGAGGAAAAACCTTGCGCTTTTGTTTAGCTACTTGGTGCTGAGTGCCATCGGCGTGGTAGGGAATTCACTGGTCATAACACTAATAGCAAGGAAACGCGGTATGCGATCAACAACGAACATACTTCTGGCCTTTGTGGCCGTGGCTGATTTGATCTCGTTGATCAGTTTTGTGCCATTTGCTTCGTTTCTCGTATTTCCACCTCCAGGAGGCCTTCTTGGCGCCATATTTTGCTGTATTTTCGTTAGACCAAATGTGGCAAGCTTAACCATTGCTGTTTCCATCACCACCCTCGTCTTGTTAGCTATTGAGCGATACCTTGCACTTTTGAAACCCATGAAAAACAGGCTCCGTTTGAACAAGGATAACATCACATATTGGGTCAGTGGAATCCTGTTATACGCTTTGGCTCTAACTGTTCCTCTATTCGTTTTCACTGTTTTCGACAAACAGGAGAGAACGTGCAAATATAACTTTGGAATTCACGGCAGGCGTAACTACTTTGCAGTTTTCGGCTTCGGAGTTGCGTTAGCTGTGGCAGTGATATGTTTCTGTTATTGGCGAATAATCAAAGGATTTTACTTCGGAAGTCGCAAAGTTTGCGTCAGCGCAGAGCTACAGCAAAAGCGAAAGGTTGTAAAACTGCTGTTTCTCATAACGTTAGCCTTTATCGTTTGTTTTATTCCAAGAGTAATTTATTTCTTTTTTTATTTTTCCAGTAAGGGCTTGTTTCATCAGATATCTTTATTTCTGTTGCATTGCAACTCAGCAATGAATCCTATGATTCTTTATCTTCAAAGTGAAAACTATCGCACAGGATTCAAGGAAATCATTCAGAAAGCTGTGGGCAAGTTCAAAAACAAAGCCGCAGGTGCTCCCGTTTGAGCTGTTTTGAAAAGGTCTCTTGGAAACAATGCGTTTTAGGCGAATAAATTCACACTTTTGAAAACAAACTTGTGTCAAGAGTTTGCTTTCCGACATTTGTTCCGATATTTTGACAGAAATAGATTTTTTGTATGGTTTCTGTATCGGCTCGGTAAATATCCACTTCAATTTACCTCCACTTCGTTGAATAATTGTTGATGATTCATAAAAATTCTGAGCAGTTTTGGAAAACGCGGCGCTGCTTTCACGTGGCGTGGTATGTCAACAACATGGTGGAAACAAGTTCGGGAGGTCACGGTCCTAAATGTGAGAAAAATCGTTTTTGGGATGAAAAATGAATTTTCACATGAAAAGGTGGAGTGTGTGCACTTCAGTAATGTCGGGCGCAAGACGCTTGCTTTTCCTGCTGAAAAG